AGTGCAGGGGTCACAGGCGTGGGCCACCATGCCCAGCCCACTGCTCCAGCGGGGCTCTCCCTCCACGGCCACGCCCTGCCCCTGCTGAGCCCCTTGGAGAAGGAGAAGGCTTGGGTGTTGAGGACTCATTCCCTGAGGACAGGCTCCTGTGGCCCTTGGGGGTGCGAGTGGACACCTGGGTCGGTTGTGTGTGGTCAGGTTTGGGAACAACCAGGTTCAACCCAGGGACAGTTGTCTTTATTGCAGGTCCTGGTGAGGCCGCTACTGTGCCACTGAGCATTGTGAATGTCAAGGAATCTTTTTCTTTTTGCCTTTTCCTTTCCTGGTGCTGGGGGTGAACTCTGGGCCTGGTGTGTGCTTGGCAAGCACTCTCCTGAGCTACACCCCCAGCCCATATGTCAAGGAATTTAATGGCCAAAATTTAGAAGCAATCAAGGTGTCCTTCAGTGGGTGGGTGGTTAATAAACTGCAGTCCATGCAGGCAGTACAAAAGACATGAGCTGTTTCTGGGCGTGGTGGCATGTAAGTGTAATCTCAGCACTCGGGAGGCTGAGGCAGGGGGATCACTGTGAGTCCGATGCATCCTGGGCTACACAGTGAGTTCGAGGCCAGCCTGAACTTCATAGGGAGAGCCTGTCTCAATACAAACAAACACAAAAAGGGAAAAACAGATGTGCTATGAAGTTCGGAAAAGACGTGGCGGAACCTTACCTGCATGTTACTGAGTGAAAGAAGCCAATCTGAGCATGCTGGGTATTGTAGGGTGCCAGCTGTGTGGCACTCTGGGAAAGGCAGACCGTGGGGACCGGACAAGGGTCGGTGGTGGCCAGGAGGAGCTGAGAGGCTGGGCTGACCGTGAGGCATCCTTGCAGGTGCATTCATTCGCTGGTGTGCCACCTGGTGCCGTGTGGTTGGGAGGGGAGGCCGTGTGGGGTGGGAGGGGTTCACATGGGAACTCTCCGCCCTTCCTGCTCAATTTTGCCGTCAGTCTAAAGCTGTCCTAAAAGATAAAACTTATTAATTAAAAAAAAAAAAGAAAAGAAAAGCCAGGCGTGGTGGTGCACGCCTGCAATCCCAGCACTCGGGAGGCTGAGGCAGGAGGATCACTGCGAGTTCAAGGCCAGCCTGGGCTACAAAGTGAGCTCAAGGCCAGCCTGAACTGCATAGTGAGACCCTGTCTCAAAAAGAATGCCCCCCCAAAAAAGTATTGCACAGCAAATATAAAGCAAAGGTAAAGGATTATAAAGCAAAGTGAGAAAGTCGCTGGCAGCCATCACTGCCATGTTTATGGGGTTTTTTTGGTACCAGGAATTGAACTCAGGACCTAGTGCTTGCCAGGCAGGCGCTGTGCTGCTGAGCTGTCCCCCTGACTCCCTATGTTTATGTTTTTAAAGATGAGTGTAGCTACCATCTGGCAAATAGATGCGGGGCAAAGCGGAGGCAGGAGGCTGCTCAGCCCTTAGGCAAGAGCTGGGTAATAGAGCGTCCGTGGCACAGGGACTGAGGGGGAGGGGGTGAGTGAGTGGGGGACAGGGCCGTCGTGTCCTGAGTAAGAGGAGACCGGGCGTGGGGCAGGCTCAGGAGCACTCAGGTTGGGCCTGTCATGTTTGGGTGGCCTGTCCCATCCAGATGGGCCCCTGGAGGAGGTGGGATAAATCTTTAAAAACTTCTTATAGCCAGGTGTGGTGGCACACACCTATAATCCCAGCATGGGGCGATGTGTGGGGGAGGCTGAGACAGGAGGATTGCCGTGAATTTGAGGACAGCCTGGGCTACATAAACGAGTTCAAGGCCAGCCTGCACTACGTAGTGAGACCTTGTCTGAGCTACCCCCCAAAAAGCCCAAAAATAACACTTATTAAAGTAAAAGGCATTGCTTTATGAATCCCCTTTAAAGGCCCTCCTCTCACTTAGAACACACTGATCCCATCACCCATGCCTCTTCCTGCAGCAGTTCTGGGCATCCTCTTTCGTGAGTGTCTTTACAAGGTGTGATCAAAAATACGCGAATGCTGCCGTCAAGTGCCACCCAGTGGGAAAAACATCACAGTGTGTCCTCATCCACCTTGTTCGCCAGATCTGGCACTGAGATTTCTGGCTCCTCCCCAAAACCAACATGACCATGGAAGGTGAACGTTTTGAATTGGTTCAAGACGTTGAGGCAGCTATGACTGCAGCTAGAGACACTTATGTTTTTTTTTTTTTCTGGTACTGGGAATCGAACTCACGACCTTGCGCTTGCCGGGCGGGTGCTGTGCCGCTGAGCTAAATCCCCCGCCCCTCAGAGACACTTATGAAAGAGGACTTCACAGCTGCTTCCAAAAGCGGCAAGAATGATGGGATAAATGTGTTCTGAGTGAAGGGGATTGATGGCGATGTGTCTTTTATTGTAATAAATTTGAAAAATACGTATTTAAACTTTTTCTTTCTTTTTCTTCCTTCCTTCCTTCCTTCCTTCCTTCCTTCCTTCCTTCCTTCCTTCCTTCCTTCTTTCTTTCTTTCTTTCTTTCTTTCTTTCTACCTTTCAAGACAGGGTCTCACTATGGAGTGCAGACTGGCCTTGAACTCACTTCTGTAGCCCAGACTGGCCTCGAATTCACGGCGATCCTCCTGCCTCAGCCTCTTGAGTGCTAGGGTGATAGGCGTGTGCCACCATAGCTGACTTTATTTACTGTGTTTCTCGATCACACCAGTCTTAGTGGGGTATTTGAGGCCAGGGATCTGGATAAAGTCACCAAAGACCAGATGGGACGGACGGGAAAAGCAGAGGCCCCGGCCCGATCCTGGACTTGCAGGGCTCACTTAGGGACACAGGAGTGACATGAGGTGAGGCGTGGTGGTGCACGCCTGTAATCCCAGCGCTCAGGGGTGGCCGGGAAGTCAAGGGCCCGTGTGTGTCAGGGCAGGAGAGGTGGCTGGCGAGGAGGAGGGCCAGAAAGTGACCAGGTCTCCTGTCACTGGCACTGACCTTAGCATTGGTGGTGGCCTGTGAGGGGCAGCCTGCCCAGGAAGGCTTTGTGGGGAGGTGGAGGCAGGGAGGACCGGCCGGCTGAGCTAGCGTGGGAGCGGAGGGCCCCAGTGTTCTGGGGCCTTTTTTTCTCTTAAAGATATGATGTGATGCGTCAGCGTAATTATCTTTTTTTTTTTTGGTCTTTTTGAGACAGGGTCCCACTGTGCAGTGCAGGCTGGCCTTGAGCTCACTTTGTAGCCCAGGCTGGTCTCGACGATCCTCCTGCCTCAGCCTCCTAAGTGCTGGGATTGTAGGTGTGCACCGCTACGCCCCGCTAGCGTGATTGTCTCTTGATGAGTTCCAGAGGGATGGGGCTGTAAGTGCCGGAACTGGGCCGTGGAGGGGGCGGGAGGAGCCCTGCGTGGGTGGGGTGCACCCAGGGGACTTGGGGCGCTGTCTGTAGCTACTCCCCTTCTCTCAGCAAGTGCAGGCAGTGGGCAGTCAGCTGAGAGCCGGGCGGGCAGAGGTGCCGGGAACCATTTGTCTCCTCGGTGAGTTCTCACAGCCGCTGAGCGGAGTAGGTGTCGGCATCCTGCTCTGCAGTGGAAAACCGCGGTGTGTGGGGGTGGCACCTGCCAGGAAGGGCGGCCCTGGGGCCCCCGAGGGATCTGGTGGATCCCAAGGGCCTGGGATGACTGTGCACCTGTGCTGCGGCTTGAGCATCTCCTCTATAACAGTTGTCGCTGTAACTCCAGTAAGTGGTGGCCCTGGATTATTGTGGGCGCTTTAGTACACTGGTTCTTTCCGCCGCTTGTGCTAGCCTCTGATTTTTCACTAATTCCAATGAATCTGAGTCTTCCTTGCATCATGCAGGAGCCGCTGGATCCATGTTTCATGTTCTCTTTTTTATTTTTTGGTCTTTTTGCGACAGGGGGTCTCCCTATGCAGTTCAGGCAGGCCTTAAACTCACTTTATAGCCTAGGCTGGCCTTAAACTTGCAGAAATCTTCCTGCCTCAGCCTCCCGAGTGCTGGGATGACAGGACTGTGCCAGCATGCCCGGCCTTCATATTCTCTTGTTTTTAAAATATCTCTCATTGGAGCTGGGGATTTAGCTCAGTGGCAAAAGCGCCTGCCTGACAAGCGCAAGGTCGTGAGTTCAGTTCCCGGTACTGGAGAAAAACAAAACAAACAAACAAACAAAAAATATATATATATATCTCATTAATTGGCCACCAACAACAGCCCCTTCTGGTTCAGAGACTCCGTCCTCACACTGGTCACTTCTGCTGCCCATACTTTCAGCAGAAGTTTGAATCTGAATTTGGATTTGGAGCCCTGCTAAGGACTCAGATCCTTTTCTGTGCTGGTCACGCATGTCTTGCATCATTTTGTTCAGCTCTTCGATCCTTTTATTAGTGTCTTCTGTGGACTCACGGATGAATTTGCCTCGTTGGTCTGTTTTGTGGTCTCCCCAGCAGCATTTTGGATAATTCCGGTGTGGGGCTTTTGGCTCCCGCCCCTTCGATGGCCCGTGGATCAGCTTGCGGGGAGCTGGGAGCTCACAGTGGTATTTTGTAGGCTGCCGTCTCAGGTTTCTGCTCTTGTTTGTGTTGATGTTTGTGGGTTTCTTTCAGTGGAAAGTTTTGGCTTCTAGTATGGCCATCTCTCTAGTTAACGTGGACTTTTTAGCGGTGTCCTCTAGGCGTGGCCTGTGTCTCTGTCCTGAGATCCACTGCCTCCGTTTCCCTGAGGTGGGAAGTGGGCGAGCGGGCTGTGACGGTGGCAGTGAGCTTGGCCTCCCCTTGCCTGGTGCTTGAGGCGCTCCGGAGAGGGCGGTGGCGTGGGCGGGGGCCTGCTGGGTGCGGCAGCCTGAGGAAGAAATGTCCATTTGTGCAAGCGACCTAGTCCAGCTCTCCACCTGCAAGGCGGACTCCAGACAGAAAGGCGACCGCTCCAAGGCCACACAGCAAGAAAGTGACATTGCCGCCCCCTGGCCCGCTTCCTCCTCCCCTAAGATCTCTCGCTGTCTTTTCTCTGTTCCCTTCGCAGTGCTGGAGACGGAACCCAGGGCTCTGCACGGACTGAGCAGTTGAGCTGCACCCTCGGCCACCTCCTGAGACCTGACGGGTACAGCACCCTTGGCCGCCCTGTCCCCATCCCACCTGCGGCACGCTGTGTGCCCTTCCGCGGTCCCCTGTGGGCCTCTCTCTCTCTTCCTGCTTGGGGCCTGGGTTGCATTGCCCCCCAAGCCCGCACAACGCCCCTTTGCATCCCTCTGCCCCAGCTGGGGGCTTCTCAAGCAAGCTGCATGTTAGAATTTTCTGATTGTACCGAGTGGGGGCCTGGGCACTGGGAGTTTTTTAAATTGAGGGATAAAGCGCACACGTGTCAGTGGCCATGGAAAAGACAGAACGCTTCCAGGGTCCCAGAAGCTTCCCAGGGAGTGCCGACCCCTCTAACCACTGTCTAAAACCTGACTTCGTGGGCTGTTCCCGAGCATCCTCTAGATGGGCAGTGCTCTTCTGTGTCAGGCTTCTTTTGATTGCTGTCGCCTCTGAGAGTTGCCGAGGCGTGCTGGGTGGCAGTAGTTGACACTGTGTGTAGTTTTGGGCTGGTCCCCAGGGAGCAGTCGGAGCAGGAGCTGGGATGCAGTAGGTTTGGATGCTGGGTGTACTGCGGTTCTCGAGAGGAACAGAATCAGTAGACATAGATGTGTGATCGCGCATGAGGACTTGTTGGGTAGGTTACAGCATCAGAGGCCGGAGAATCGCACGCTGTCTGGGCTGGAGAGCTGGAGGACCCAGGAGCTGCTCAGCCAAAGAACCAGGGGGATCAGGATGCAGCCCCAGTCAAAGGTCAAAGGCCTGGAATCTCCCAAGTCTGAGTTGGAGGCCAAAGAAACTGGAGACCTGGAGACCGGTGTCCAAAGGTCACGACAGCAAAGGTCACGGCAGAACGAATCCTCCCTTCCCTTTTCATGCCATCCAAGCCACAATCCTATTGGTTGTTGTCACCCACATCTGGGGTGGCTCTTCCCGCCTCCATTTGCTAGTCTACATGTCAGTCATCTACAGACACATCCAGAACTCTGCTTTACTAATCTGCTAGGCATTTCTTAGGCTAGGAGTGGTCATGAAAGATACTGGATAAGGCCGGGTGTGGTGGTGCACGCCTGTAATCCCAGCACTCAGGAGGCTGAGCCAGGAAGCTCATCAAGGTTGAGACCTTGGGCTTGGGCTACAAAGTGAGCTCAAGGCCAGTCTAAACTGTATAGCGAGACCCTGTCTCAAACAGACAAAAAAAAAAAAAAAAAAAAAAAGACACTGGATAGGGCTTCAGCTGACCACACACAACCTGAGGCTGGGACAACTCTTGGGAGTTGTCCCATACTGGGCTGAGGACCCAGGCTCTGCACCCCTCACTGACCAGTCACTGGATGCAAGCTTCCCCGGGGAGCTGTAACCTTGGACGAGGCAGCTTCCCTCCACCCAGAGAGGGCCGTGGCTGTGGGCAGGCAACACTCCCAGCCCCTGGCTCCAAACTGCCCTAACCTGGTGGGGCAACCCCAGCAGCCTCTGTGTCTGCTTGTCCCTCCGGTGCACGTGGAAATCCGTGCTTGGAGGATAATTTGCCCTCTCCAGGAACAGCTCCTTCTGGATTCTGGTTGGTCTCTCTGGAGAAGCTCCCAAGGGCCAGGCGAGTGAGATGAGCCACGGTGCCCGTTGGTCGCAGGTCTCGGGCACAGTTGATGCCCAAACTGGCTCCTGACCCCTGTCTAGCTGTCGCCCTGGCCCTTTGTGCACAGATAGGTGAAGCTCAGCTCTTCCTGCCGGGTGGGGACTGCTTTGGGTTCTGCCACAAGATGCCTGGGGCCAGTCCCAAAATTTCATGCTGGCTCCTGGCGGAAATGTTTCCCCTTGGGGAAGCAGGACTTCTGGCCTGGCTGGGCTGAGACTCGTCACTGGTCGTGATGGTGAAGGGGCCGCTTCTGCTTCCACCCGAGTGTCTTGGGTGCACCGATTCCAGGCACAGGGATGCAGCACCGAACGGCGACGACTCTTCACAGTAGACTGGGTCCCTGAAGAGGGCCTCGTCCTTACAGGGCCTCCCCGCTCCTCCACACTTCAGCTGCATCTTTTTGCTATCTTTATTATTCTTTAACTGCCAAATAAAAATCATTCCTACTGACGGCATGCAAGGCGATGTTTTGAAGTATGTGTACATCGTGGCATGGCCAAATCGAGATACTGACTGTGTGTACTTCCTTGCATGCTTCTGTGCCTGGTGAAAACACCTAAATCTGCTCTCGTGAGCACACATTATTATTACTGCAGCCACTGTGCTAATAACAGACCCTTGACCAGATGTGTCTTCCAAAAGCTGTCATTGGCTGGCCATGGTGGTGCATGTAACTACTGCAGAGGCTGAGGCAGGAAGGTCAGAAATTGGAGGCCACCCTGAGCCATTTAAGGTGGCCCTTGGTCAAAAGAAAAAGAGCTGGGGATGTAGCTCAGTGGTAGAGCACTTGGTTAGCATGTGCAAAGGCCCTGAGTTCCATCCCCAGCACCACAAAAAATAAATAAAGGCTGTGATCACCCACTAGACTGCAGCTCTGGGTGTCAGGTGCCCACAACCATATCTCCTTGGCCAGGGGTGATTTTAGAGGTTTCCTTGTGGTCACCATGACAGGTCTCACTCCACAAACCGAGGCGCCAGGGTGGGGTTCTGCCAGGTGAAGAGATGCCTGCCACGTGGCCTGTGGGGCCCAGGTACCAGTGTCTGCAGACGTGGAACGTGTCCCAGTGTCCTTTTTTCCCCATGCCAGTTGTCCCCAGTGCTGTCTGTCTCTGCTGGGGAGAGACTGCTCGAGTCACCGCTACCTACACCATTCTGGGGTGGCGGGCACCTGCTCCCGGGACTGGTGTCCCCGCCGGTGGGTGCCGAGTCTGCAGCAGGACAAGGCACAGTGACTTCTGCTCTGGGCCCTGGTCACCAGGCCTCGTGTATGTCTGACTGTGCGGAGCGGCAGTGTCCTTGCTGGCTGCCCCTGGGGACCCCAGGTCCAGTCACCGATTCTGTGTTGGCCTTGCTGATCTTGCGATGACCTCGCCACGACTTGTGACGACGGCCCCGCCTTGCTCGGTGATGATTCTTGTACCCCCACTGGCTTTTCCTGGCCGCCCGGCCCTTGGCCCAGGCTCGGGACCAAGTCCCCGCTGCTCCCCGGTGTCTCTGGGCTGTGATCACTTTTCGCTGGTTCCGTCTGTCTGCTGGAGTTGCTGACCCCCGATTCTGGTGCGGTGGCCACGTGGGGGCCCTTTCAGGTGTGCAGGGGTGACCACAGCGAGGTCCACTTGGAGCAGAGGGTGCTCTGGGCCCCGCATCCCCCGACTTCTCCATCAGCCTCCTGTGTGCAGACTGGGGGAACCGAGAAGCCCCCCTCTGTGTCCTTGGGCTCCTCTCACGTGAACCTGGCCGCTCCCCGCCATAGCCTCCCCTCCGGCTGCAGGAGAGAATTTAGAAGGAGGCCCTTGGCTTTCACACCGGCCTCCAATTAGTGATGAATCACCCCTCACCTAATGACAGTCCCCACAATAGCCAGCCGGAGCCAGGGCTTCATCTCACCCGCCTCTCAGCCCAGCAGCTGTGGCCTGCAGTGCCTGCCCCTCCCCGCAGACCGGGACAGCGCGAGCAGTCTCAGGTCTCACCCTGCTGAGGCGGGGCTGGCGGCTCTCCCAGTGCCGACAACTGGCGTGGGACCCTGCGCTGAGGCTGCCCTGGGACCCCTCCTGACTCCTGAGATGCGTGTGCAGAGTGTAGCTGGGAAGTGATCCAAGTCCGGTGAGTAAGAGGGCCAGGGTGGCAGGACAGAGAACTAAGGACGGGGAACACCTCTGTCTTGTCTTTGTTTTGAACCCAGAGCCTTTGCATTGAGCAGCATTTCTAGCCCCCTTTTTATTTTATTTTATTTTATTTTATTTTATTTTTGGTCTTTTTGAGACAGGGCCTCCTATGCACTTCAGGCTGGCCTTGAGCTCACTTTGTAGCCCAGGCTGGTCTCGAACTCACAGCGATCCTCCTGCCTCAGCCTCCTGAGTGCTGGGATTACAGGCGTGCGCCACCACACCTGGCTCTTAGCCCCCTTTTTATTTTGAGACAGGGTTTCACAAAGTTGCTAAGTTGTCCAAGTTGGGTTTGAACTTGCCATCCTCCTGCCTCAGCCTCCCAGAGTGCCAGGATTGCAGGCGTGGGCCACCACGCCAGGGTTTGGTTTGTTTTTTAAGAGGCAGGGTCTTGGATTGCTGCCCAGGCTGCCCTTGAACTCCTGAGCTCAGAGGACCCTCCCACCTCCCGAGTAGCCGGGATGACAGGTGTGCCTACCGCCTCGCCCAGCAATACCAGTTGGTTTGCTTTGTGGCCCAGTACATTGAACCCAGGGCCTCATGCATGCTAGACAAGGGCTCTGCCACTGAGCTACATGCCCAGCCCTATTTTCAACCGGAATCTCAGTAAGTTGCCCTGGCTGGCCTTGAACTTGTGATCCTCCTGCCTCAGCCAGGACAAGAATCAAGGCTCCTGGCAGGGGATTGGGGGTTGGGGGAGGATTGGGCTGGGAACCCCTTGGGTGGCTATGTGTGATGTTTCACCCGAGGACGCGCTTCAGAACCCGATCCCGGCAGGCTCAGGCAGCACTGGCAGGCGGTGACACTCCGTGGCTGGGCTAGTGGAGCTCCCTGCAGCTGGAGTCCAGCCCTGAAGGGTGCGGGAGGGGAAAGGAGTAGGTACATTTTGCTGCTGGTGAGGCCCGGCTTCTGTGGGTCTCAGGAGGACACTGGAAGCAGCGTGGTGACTCCGCCTGCACAGTGCCTCCCAGTCTCCCAGCTGTGATCTCCTCTCAGACCTGGTTTCTCTCAGCGGTCCTGGAAGGCAAGAGGGACTGGGGTGTCAGCTCCACTGGACAGAGGGGAAACTGAGGCCAGCTTGTGCAGAGCCCCACAATGAGTGACAGGCCAGGTGAGCCTTGAACCCGGATGTGGATTCCAAGTCCAGGATTCCAATTTCTTTGTTTTGTTTTGTTTTTTTGAGACAGGGCTTTACCGTGTAGTTCAGGTTGGCCTTGAACGCAC